CTATATACAATGTCTCTCTGCCTGTTTGTTCGTCTGTCACGAAATTCGGGAAGAACAAGTACAGAGTTCAAGTTAAGTTTAGTATGGGTGGGACATGGAGCAAGAAGTACAAAACACATGTCGGCTGCGTGGAGCTCCATCTACGCGCCATATTGAACGGTGCCAATGGCAAAAGTTTCGGGTTCGGTCACAGAACAGCCCGCAGACGGGAAAAAAATGGGTATAGGTGTGCTACGGGTTGATAAGTCGGATTAGAGAGATCTGCCTGCATGGGGGAGCGTTCTGTAGATGGGCGAATTCTAATGAAAAAGTCATAGCACGGTTGAGAGAAAGCTTATAGAGTGGAAAAAAATCAGTACGGGAAGCTCCATCGACCGGGAAAAAGTGGTTAGGGTTGGATAGGGAACGGAGGTTGGTTGGTGGGTGGAGTGCGCACGGAGGCAGGTGGAGCTTGCAACGAGACACCATAATCGGTTCCAAGAAATTCCTGAGACCAGGAATAAGTGGACATAAGGAAAGGAGGTCAGCATCGGTCGTACCGAAGTGGGCGAAGTTTGCCAGAAAGCAAAAAAAATATCGATGGCCCTCTTTCATACCACCGTAGTCCCGTGTGATGCACGCGAATGCGTGTGCAGCCAAACTCGTTATTGAATATTTGTGTTCCCGAATGTTGTGGGCGGAGCTGTTCAAGATAGGATTTGTTAGTGATGGACGGATGTGCACGTTCAATGCAAATGGATGAAATAGGGCAATGATCTTTTAAAAAGAGAATATAGAGTCGTTAGAAAGAGTAAAAGGAATAACAAGGTAATAGGTAAAAGTCTGCGTAAAATATCCAAGCTGGCGGGCGGATATCATCGGCTATGCAATATCACCATCGCAATTCATATGTGGGAGAAGGAGTACGGTAGGAGGCGGACAGTTACGCCAATGTTAGAAAAAAAAACAGAATTTCTGAAATTTCAAATTCCCTCAAAAATACCTAAAAGCGCGTTCTCGTCCCACCAAGCCGACATGTAGGATGGACCCCGCACCTTGGTTCTAGGACGCAGTATCTCTCACTTTTATATACTAAATGTACGGCTGCTTGCTGTTGAAACCCTATGGTATCGCAAACTTCGGTGACCATGAAGCTCCCATTCAACTATTGGCGCTGTCAGTTGTGGGGGATTCTGATGGGATTAACACTGTGACAACGGCCATTGCTTACCTGTTGTCAACATCTCTTCCAACGCTGCTCTCAAGTGATTCCTGGTGCACTGGAAAATCCTGCCTGTGAATCTCACCCCAAGTTCGAGCCCGAGAGTGGCGCAAGTTTTGATAGTTGGCGGTTTCTAGTTCGTGTTCAAGTTCAAACCTACCTTGATTATGGTCAATGAGGAGAATCACCACATTTGACCGCTAGTCAGTGTACTTCAGTACCGTCCCACGCACGGTGGGCACGAAGAGTTACTCGGATCAAATAATGGAAGTATTGAACCCCCCTCCCTTTTCGCACGTTTACCATTTATTAGTCGCGGAAACGGCTACATATATCTGTGCAGCGCAGTTGCCTTTGAGGAAATTTTCTAAGCTCTCAGCTTTTTGATCAGCAATTTGCTTACCGACCATCAAAATTCGCCTTCCAACTCTGTTTCGCCTAAAATGTCGAGTCTTCCATTACAGGTTTCGTTGCCGTATGTTCCTGGGTTACCGAATATTGTTCACCGACCGGGTCACAATGTTATATAACGATTATTTCGGATCGTTCTCAGCTATTCACTGAGCTGCGCTTCATAGTAAGCTGTGAGGAATTCAATAGGTGTGCCAGAAGTTTGCCCGAAACACTTTAGAAGATTGCAATTTCTATTTTGATCGAGATGCACACGCATGGGCTTTCGTTGAAAAACCGTGCAGCCGCAGAATAGCCTTTTATATGGACATGCATGTGCTATAATTGTGACCGTATTCGCCTTCATATTTGGCATTGATCTAATTGTGTTTGCGCATCTCCGGTCAGGAACTAATGTATGTCTTTTGTGCACGGCGTAACTTATAAGGTAAAAAGTTAGTACGAAAACAAGGAAACCTCTTTCAGAAATTCTTAGCAGTCTCTGGAGTTCAAGGAAAAGTGGAGAGTACGCGACGGTTTGGCAGAGAAAATCGACTGTTTGTACAGGTCAGCCTTGTTCTTGCGACTTCGAAAATCACGAATGGGAACGTGGCTTCTCGCAGAAAATAGGACAAAACCCTCATTCAAGCATTGGAACTAATCAGCCAACTCGAAAAAACTGACTCCGAAATCGCAATCCGCCTTCCCATTTGACACGAATAGCACGACTGAACATTGGCTAGAGCTGGAACCCCAGCTCTGAAAAAAGTGATCTTATTGAGTGAGTACCCTATGAGGCCTACTGTGCAGAATAGGCTGTTGATGGGTAATGCTATGTCACGAGTACTGTCGCAGACTAGGCCGTGACAGCACACACCTGCCAGACGGTGGCTCAGACACGGCACCTCAAGTCCTAGCCATGTGGAAGTCGCTAGAATAGCATCGAAGGGGACTGAAAAGTTCGCGGCATCTTAGACCGCCTAGACCGTTTCCATGCTAAAGTGTGGTCAGCCTTCGAAAACAAAAGATTGTTAAGATATTGTTGTCTGCCAATTAAATTGCAGATTATTTCCCGTTTCGATAGACCCCGGCTGTCGAGAAAGTCCATACTTCGCAAAGATTTGGGCACGCGCAATGATCATGCAGAGTCAACCCTGCGTTGCGCAGTTCTCAACGGCCACGTTGCGCAGTTTCGCCCGATTAGACACGTTCTCTCGCGCGAACATTCACACTCGCATGCTCGAGCCGTCTGCGTCTCCGCCCATACAGCGTGCGTTGAGGATCTCTCAACGTGCCGTTGCGAACTGCGCAACGCAGGGTTGACTCTGTATACCTCGTGGTAGATGCATATATACGAACTTTGGAGGTGGCGTTATCATATGTACATATCTAAGGACAAATATGCAGAAGTATCGAATCTCTTATTTCAACCCAAGCGATGTGGACTTAGGTTCATTTTTGCAGTCTTTCTCGAGCAACTGTGCGTATATAATCATGCTTTTATCTTTTCACCTATTTGCTCGATGGACACCCAGTGGATTTGGCCTCTTCATGTTAACCTTGTGGACATGGGCTTGTGCCCACACCGCAGGAGGGTAAGAACACATTTGTTTTATATTTTCTATGATGCGTAGCATTTCCCTCTGAAAAAAAAAATAAAAATAGAGGCTTTTTCCGCTGGTTTCACGTGATATTGTTTTGATGCAAAAGGCATGAAAGACTTGCTACGTGTTTTCAATTCCTAATCGAATTTTTATGTTGGTTCCATCAGGCGAAATCAAATTATCATCCTGACGGCTATTACATGTCGAGTTCGCGAAAAGTTAACGATTCATGCTGTGAATCGATTGAATTGCGCCAGCATTTGAGGTCATCAAATCAGCATTGTCCTAGCAGCTAAATTGAGGTGCCTGAAAAGGAAATGGTGAGCGAGAGTGAGCTGGGGAGGGTGGATCACCGCTATCGGCCTAGGTGAAGGAAATGGTTGGCGTGGATGTAGACGGTAAATGTTCCCTAACCCATCGTCATCACTTCCAATAGGACTCCATTTCATTCGAGGGGGTGACTAAGAAAATGTGGCACATGAACACAAGCACTGATGGAGTGATTCAGAGGTGCCTTAGTTATGAAATGGAAACCGCAAAATTGCCGGCGTGTTGATCGAATGTAGATACGATTGTGGCAATATATATGTTGCTAAATGGAATGGACATTAATTGAAACTTAGTGAGTGAGCGACAAGTGCGCTACTACAACGGTCACAGTGGTGGATCATCCATCTCGGAACGCTGATACAGACCCACATGTACCTCCCAATAGTTGGCTGAGATACCATGCTTGATTTGGAGAGAATACCAGTCGTTTACATTTTTTCGACAACAAATGGTGTAGGTGAAATCGCATTAAGAGCGAGAAAGATTTTCAGTGGAAGCGAATGGATTGACAACCCGTCATCCTACTCCTCAAAACTAGCAGTTTGAAAGATTCACGCAGCAGTAATTCTATTCTAGATAAGGTCTATCCAACCTTCATTTTGACCCGTATATTCAACCGGCCGGGTCAGGAAACGTATGCGAAACTCTTATAGACTGTCATGGTAGCGTCTTCCAGAATGCCGAGGCTCAACCTCAACAATGAAATGCCTGAAACATGAGTGCATGAACATCCATTGTTTCAGGCTGATCATAATATATTTCAATCCCGAGATCAAACGACATCTCGTGGGTGTGCGACACTTCCTGAGGTTTCTCAAAGATCCGCTCAAGATGGACATTCCAAAGTCAACTACTATTGTTGCTCCCTCGAATAATTGAAAACGGTTCCCGTACGTACAGAACAATGATCTGTTGACAACTCGAATATTCTCGGATCGATTTCTTAAGACGAGTAAAAGTATTTTTGAGCTGTTCTGAAATTTTTCCTCAACGCGGGCTCTTTCAGACGCCACATCACGGGATCGTGAGCACATCTCTAACGGTTAAAGGTAGAGGATTAATAACAGGTCATCGACTTTTGAAGTACACTTTTTGGTATTGACGGTGTAGTGACCCTACCGTGGCCGTTTTAATGCCAAGATGAACCGACTCTAATCACATGTTCACCAGAGATCTCATGCATTGCCAGGGGGTTCCTCTTTATTCTAGGATGATGTTAGAATCTTCATAAAAATGGAGGTATGAGCAACCGAAAAAAGCCCCATCCTGAGATATATGTAGCTAGACAGATATAGATAGATAGATATATGTAGCTCAATAAAGTGTCTCTGTGTTCGCATGTTGACAAGCACAAGTGACCTGTGGTGATCAGAAAAGTTCCACAGAATAGTAACGTCCATTATGTGCTTTTATTATATTAATACGATACTGTGTATTCTCTGAAACTGAATAAAATTCAACGACTTTCCAGCTGCTCAGTACAGTCTGAGCACCAAAACATAAGTTTGCATGTCGTGATAGAAGCAGCCGTACAAATTCCGCCAAGTGAGATGTCCGCCCGTTGTTGTGTCTGCAGGTCGCGTCCTGCAACTGCCCGAATGATTCTGCCTGTGCACGAGCCAACTGCCTGGCTTCCGATAGGCTACGATCTGAAGTATAAGCTTCAGCTGGGTAGCGACAAACGTTCTTTGATGAATGTTAGGTAAACAGCTGGAGAACAGCCCTTGTCATTGGTCACAGAGGCTCCTGAGAGCACTCTTCTCCTTCTATAGGAACTCTGTCGCTTTATGGGACACACGGAGTTCTAGACTTAGCGAAATTCGTTCATTTTTAAGGCGACCTACGAGGTACCACCTCATGCTTGCTAGCAATAAGCTGGATTGCTGGAATACGTCCGAAAACTTGTTTTCTTCTAGGATTTTTCAATATACATGGAACCGGATGATTTACCTATATGGGACCAAAATGCTGGGGTCAGGAGCACTTAAACAGAGAAAAAAAGAAATTGAAATTGCGGCTGTGTACCTGGTCAAGTATGCTCTTGCTCAGCGCTCCCATATCATGGATATATGAAGCCAAGGCATTGTTGATGAATCGTGCCAAATCGGAGTCGCGACATGTGGCCGCCGATAGGGATGTATTGCTCACTCGATTCGCCTGGAATCAAAAATTTTCAGACTTCACAAACAGCCTCATGGAACATTTCAGAAGATTACTTAGAGTTGACAAGCATCGCCTCCCTCTGAAGTGACGACAACGAAAAATAAGAACGTAATATGGTTGAACGAGAAATGAAAAAATTAATAGTGACATGCAAAATAAACAGAGCTATATTCCCAAGTCTCTCAAAGGCAAGCGAAGTAAATAAACTGCTACCCAGAGCGGCTTTCCGCCTCGTACTCAAAAATAGCTGGGTCAAAATCAACAAATGGATACCTCCAAGTCACACGGCATGAGCTGGACAGACGTTGGTGTGTCATAGAGTGCTTCACATGCAGCGAGAGCAACCAAAAGCCACACGACGAGCATTGCTGATCGCTAGATGGGAGGGAAATCACGCTCGACTGACTGTTATAAAGCTCGCCTCTCACCAGATGGCACACATGCGACATGCACTTTGGTCAAGCGACTCGTCGGAGTTTACATTCATTGCCTTCGCGCTCTCAAGAATGAAGGTAAGGGAAAATTTTCTAGTGAGCCAGCCGACGTGTACGTGGATTCGTTGCTTTCCGGACAATTGTGGTACCGGTAGCCCAACTTAACATTCTTGTGGTAACTTTGACGAACTGCGGCGTGAAACAACAGTTATCTATAAAGAACTGCTAAAATGGTAACATCTAATGAGGCTATCAGATTGCGGTTTACTGGCGATATCGGCCAACTGGTTCATCACGTTATATACTGCCGTGTGAAAAAAAAAAAAAAAAAAATGCTGATAAGCTATGGTAACTTCACCATCGAAGCTGAGTTGGGGTGAAATGGTGCCCCGGTGGTGTAACTGGTAGCACAATTGCCCGGAAAGCAAAAGATCCGGGTAGGAATCCCGGCTGGAGTGGAAGTTTCGCCTACAACTCAGCACTTAGTGATAGTTATTTTTTGTTTTTGGTAACAACTGAAGTCATCGGATGGTAAAAGGTTGCCTCTTGCTGTCGGGTTGCGTTTCGATCACGTGCGATCGATGCGATCCTTGAAATAGGCTTGGACTACTGTCAATGTGAATGAGGAATTCAATGGAAATTTTAACCATTCTTCACGCTTTTTTCTTCAGTATTTCAGCATCAGCTGTTTTCCATATAGACCCCGTAGCGTTTGAACGTTTCAGCGAGGGTTCACTTAGAAACCAACTTAAAGGAGGAATCCATGATTGGAACGAAGGCTAAACAAGGACAAAATTGCGTAGCCGGGAGATAGGAGTACCTCCTGAGGGTGCTGACCGACGCGCAATTGGCAGCGGATCTAGCATGGCTCACTCTTGGCGCGGTTGGCGGAACACGCCCACCGCGCCAAGAGTGAGCCATGCTGTCTAATCACTCGCCGCAGGTCTATACGTGGTGAGTGATCAGGTAGCAGAGAGAGCGCTAGCATTGTGGAGGGCAAAACGATGCAAGTGATATCGATCTGGAAATCAAGAGGCAAACGAACAGGGAGTCCATCTCGGGTTGTGGTCCGTTTTCAAATATTTTCTCTTCATCACCCCTCATGACACACATCTACCATAATTCCGAATGAGCTAACTTTCGCCAGTTATTCTGCCGTAATTTCGACTAACTTAAGACAATTGACAACTCGAGTGCTGGAATCAGTTTCCTCACACCGCCTATGGTGGATGTGCAGCGACGGTGAACTGACCTATGGGTAAATCGACTCCCAGTACTATCCACGACTTAAAAATTCATTCGAAATAAAGTTGTAATTGCCACTGTGAATACTTCTGCAGAAGCCCTAGTACACCTTCAAACACATTCCGAAGGTATAAGCCTCAGCGTTCGAATTGTCTCCTTTGGTCGTTCTGAGTACTGCTCGAGTGCCTGCTTGTGTCACCACGAATTCAGTCAAGGTGAAATATCTATTTGATGGGTTGACCAGGCACGATTAAACTTCCCAACATGAAAGACAGACTCCGACAATTACAAGGTTATCTCTTAGTAAATGTTTAATTCATCTATTTACAGTATTGAGCTAAACACATTTAATTACTCGAATATCTTCATAATCTTCAGAGCAGAGCAATCTTTGCACCTCTCTCTAAGGTGATGAGCGAAAATAATCTTACGGGCTTTTTCAAATCTTCTTAAAAAATGCTACAAATGTAGCCAATTGATGGCAGGGCGATCTACGGAACGAGAGGCTGACGGTCGCGCCGTGGCTCCCAAAACATCGACAGAATCAGCCGTGGGCGACGCAAGCGCCATCCTCCCTTACGAATTATAGCCTCATACTCCGTGTACAAAATCAATTCTTCACGTAGTTCTTATGAAATCAGGCTGCATCTATTATTAATCTGATATGTACAATGGACCAATGGCAAATATCTGCCGGCACCAGTATGATAGGTACAACGGGTTAGTGTTTTAGTCCGACGGAGACTTCATACACCAAAAATACAAGGAGTGCGGCCCTGCTTACGTGAGTGGCTAGTTCAATGCGCTATTGAATACGTCTCCTTGATGTGCCGCGCGTCCATTCGTCTTCGGTGGTCCTCCTTCAACTCCAGCTTGATCTTCTGCTGGGATGGACAATGCCTGAAATCAAGTACATCATGAAAAGCATCTTGAGGAGATTCCCTTCCAAAACCCAGGCTCGCTCTCCAGAAATTAATGCACCGGAAAAACGAGTAGCAGGGTTGTTATAAGTGGGAACCTAAATAAGATACCAGTGTGGTAAAAATGTGACAAACGTACATCAGTGTGTGGTTCTCGTAACCATCAGCACCACAGAGCGTACACGGTTTCAAGGCGAACAGTTCGGGACAAGAAGTCTTCGCATGTCCTCCGGAAGGCTTACCCACACTTCTGCAGTAGCCACAGTCCTGAAACAATGATCACTACATGGGAGAGCAGCAATTTCTCCGCCCACAGTGAGAGCGCTGCTGGACAGTTTAGTCGCGGCTCCATACGCGAGCGGTCGCGTGCGTACCGACCGAATAAATTACCCAGCGTAGTGACAATTTCGACTAGTATCTCTAACCGTCGTCCTAAGACTGATAATCGCAGAAGCACCTCACCTCTCTACTGTAGAGCTGACTGATGGTCGTTTTGCCGCTACATTTTGGCAGGACGTACATCCTCGGAATGTGTTTCACTAGCGCAGCAGTATCGTAAATTCGAGTCGAATGACCCAACTCCGCTTGGATCTGAAATATTCTATTCTCGCATACCAGTTAAACTGTCAGTTGTAAAAACTATTATATAAACATCAAACGCTGACAATGGCGCCCGCAGCCTCCTAAACTGTCGGGTCATGTGTGGGACCCACTACAACATGGGTGGTATGTTTAAATAATGGCCATCCTAGAAAAGCTTATGAAAAATGGGGACCAACATTATCTGTTTGGCATTGGTTCAAAAGTTAAAGGCAGGTGGTACGACAAATTTATGTTCAAAGATGGGGAATGAATTTGCAATAATCGGAGCTTGGGCCCCAAAGAGACCGGCATTTGGCACTTCCGCTGCAAATGAAGCGCTCACAGCGACATAGTAAGGCTGTCAGCATCCCTCCAAACGTCTTCCTCCCTCCGCCTGCCCCTTTTAACGCCAGGCCCCTTCGAACCTAAAGTCACGCGCCCATCAATTCTCTTTCCGGTTCTGGAGTGAAGATTTCTTGAGTCTTACCTTCAGAACACCATGGCTGCCTTCAGCACGAGCTGGATGAGATGATGTCGATCGAGACTGCACTGGATCCTGCAAAGAAAGAACGAGCTGCTTCAGATCAAGCGCCATATTTTCAATGGCTTCTGGTAACCTTGTCTGACTGCTTACCTTTAGAATGCGGCGGAAATCGCCAGCCTGAGCTGCGTAACTAACTGATTCTTGGAACACCACTGATTGGACTCGACCAGGATTTTGCACGACCTTAAAAAATACTTGTACTGAGGTAGGCTTGGAGTAATCTCTGCGCCACAAACTCGGCGCTCTCAACCAATCTCTGCAGCATGCACCCTACCAGCTCTATATCATAGACTAAATATCCCTGTCCCTTGACTAACATCAACTACTTCACTGAACGAAGCAGCCCTTGTCGTTCTTCAATTTTGATAGCAAGGAAAACCTCTCCCAAATTCACTCCAAAAAGAAGGGATAGGATGAAAGTGGTCGCTGCTCCACACAAAAGCAAGTATTATATTACAAGCAAAAGGCGTGTTCGAGGTATTTTGTGGCAGTACAATTTTTCGACCAACATTCAAAATTCAGATATAAGGCTCTACTTACTCTGTTTGAAGGCCCTGCCGGTACCGAACGCATCTGATCCATCGGTTGGAACCACAGCGGCTCCTGAGTTGTCTGAAATCACGTTCCATTCAGACCAACGTTAACAAAAAGGCAATTTATCCCATACTTACCACTTCTGTACTCCTAGTAGATGACAAGTTTTCCATCGCCGACGTCCCTGAAAATACAGCTCCAAATTCGCATAATCAACATTGGAGACCAAGTTTGCTCACAGCACATGATAAACGTGTTCAGGGTGGATATCGCCTCGAGGAAATACGATACGGTAATAATGAAATACGGTGATTCAATCCTCCCCCTTCGAGGTATCGCTACCTCCGCTTTGCCTTGCCAGTGATCAATGCGAAATTTGTTGATATGTTAATAAAGTCGCTAAACCTAGTTCAACCACTACCCAAAATCCTCTGAATTGCCCTCTAATAGGAGGGGGGACGAAGCAACACGTATTACGATTCCACGTTCAACTTCTATATTCCCTTCACTACCTCCCTTTGTGAGAACTGCATCGCGAAAATCCCAACTATGACCCCCACCTGGTGATGTTGCTCCCGTTCCCTATACCATACAGACAAGTGATCCGCATTCGGTCAACGGGCCTGATCTTCTGCTGGATGGACAATGCCTGAAATCAAGTACATCATGAAAAGCATCTTGAGGAGGTTCCCTTCCAAAACCCAGGCTCGCTCTCCAGAAATTAATGCACCGGAAAAACGAGTAGCGGGGTTGTTATAAGTGGGAACCTAAATAAGATACCAGTGTGGTAAAAATGTGACAAACGTACATCAGTGTGTGGTTCTCGTAACCATCAGCACCACAGAGCGTACACGGTTTCAAGGCGAACAGTTCGGGACAAGAAGTCTTCGCATGTCCTCCGGAAGGCTTACCCACACTTCTGCAGTAGCCGCAGTCCTGAAATAATGGTCACTAGACGAGAGAAGCAGCAATTTTTCTCCGCCCACAGTGAGAGCGCTGCTGGGCAGTTTAGTCGGTCCATACGCGAGCGGTCGCGTGCGTACCGACCGAATAAATTACCAGCGTAGTGACAATTTCGATTAGTATCTCGGAGCATCGTCCTGGGAC